AGCAGCTGACTGGGGGACGCTTGGGGTTCGTAAGTTGATTCTGTATGTAAGTCAGAACTGGTGGTCAGTTTCAGCAGCGGCTGAATCTGGAGCTAGTTCCGACTTACATACAAATTCAACTTAAGAACAAACCTATAGTCCCTATCTTGTACGTAACCCGGGGACTGCCTGTATGGTAAAATGGGTGGGGAGAAGGACTGCAGGTAAATCTCTCCAGTCCAAACAAGAAACAGCTATAAGGCATCAGGCCAAAATCAGAAAGACAGCAGCTGGAACTGTCAGGTTCCTACTGGCCCATAATTCAGCTAGACTGAGAGCCTATGAGGAACTGTTACTTGCAGGACAAGCCAGAAGCTCCAGACTGTACCAAATGGGTGGCCCAGTTCACTTTTTTCTGCTAGATCCCATTCGTTTTTGTGGAAGAGGCAATGCACATGAAGTGCTAATTAGCAACTTCTCATGCTTCATTTGCATTTTCTTCTGATGCTTTTTGCGGAAGAGGTTTTTGCGCAAAAAAAGCAGTGTAGATGGGGCTATTTTGCTCAAAAAAACACTTTTGTGCAAGATCCCTTATGCCTCAAAAAAGGAGGAAAACAGGATCTTGCACAAAAGGGGTTTTTTTGCGCCAAATGGCCCCAAACACTGCTTTTTTTGCGCAAAAACCTCTTCCACAAAAAGCATTGGAAGAGAATATGCAAATGAAGTTCAAGAAGTTGCTAATGAGTGCTTTATTTGCATTGCTTCTGCCGAAGCCTGAGGGTGGTGATAGGCAGCTGCTCCTCCTTCTTGAGGGTCCTCAGATCTGTAAGGTGAGGCCCATGGAGGAACTGAGCTGCTGTACTCTTCCATCTCATCGCTGTGCAGCTGATTCCCCCAACTTTGCCTGCTTCTTGACAAACAGACAAATCAGTGCCCCTAATGATTCAGTCCCCTCTGAAGTGAGACTCAGGACAAAAAGTAGATCTGAGGTCAAAGCTAATTAGACAGAGGAGATGTTGGTTGGTAGGAGAATGCATTTGCTGGGGTTGTGGACTCACCATCCACTAAGATAGTCTCTTCACCCATGCTCAAAGTGGTGAGCAGATTTATCATTATGTGTTGTAGATGCCAAAATAGCGAGAAATGCTCTCTTTGTCTTCTGATGGCCAGACAGCTATAGCCATTTTTCTTTTATACAGCCCAAGCCAGTACATTATGCATATGTCGTCCTAACTGTATTGCTGCAAGGCGCTGTACTTATGGCTGATGTAAAGGCCATTCAGAAAATGAAATGGGTGTAGCTAGCTGCCTTTTAAGGAGAAGACATTGAAACAGAACTCTGCATTCTACACTACCTGCTAGTCAAACTTCAGATTATACTGACATCTTGATACTTACCGTTCGTGGATTTAGGACCCTATCTTGGAGCCTAACTCTTTCCATAGCCCACTGTCTTAGGTGCATTCAAAAAAGATGCTTCCAGTGAGAGAAATCAGATTTGAACTAATAAAGTGCAGGGTCAGAGTGTTCTCGCTGGAGGATTTGTAACTATGGAGCTCTCATTCACCAGAGCCCAGGCTGAGCTCAGATCTCACTATCTTGATACAACAATGCAAAACCCACCTTTTAATGCAGGAGTTTTCCAAATAAGCGTGTCAGAAATCACCCTAAGCCTGCTCTTTTGGAAGTCAATCACCAGCATGTGAGCCTGATAAGCAGCCGAACTGGAAGAATATCCCTTTCC